TCGTTGCCGCAGTGTCTGAGCAGCAGGAGAGAGCCTTCACGCTGGGACTGGCAGGACTTCTTGGCGAGGGAGTTTTTAACTTTGGAGAACTTGTAAGTTGCCCCGGGCTCAGACCCTTCCCTGGGGAGACTGGCTTCAGCCGCTGAGTGTCTGTGCCCTCGCAGCTCATGCACCCCGTGCTGGAGTCACTGAGGAACACCGACCGGCAGTGGCTGATCGACACCCTGTACGCCTTCAACAGTGGCAACGTGGAAAGATTCCAGACGCTGAAGGCTGCCTGGGGCCAGCAGGTGAGTCTCCTGCGGATCTGGGGACGGAACCACCTCTCTTCTACACCACGGAGCAGAGACTGCGGCCAGCCAGGCCTTGCTCTGTGCTGGAGGAGGAGGAAGAGGAACCTGGACCCTGGTGTCCCAGAAGAAACACTGTTGCTCTGTGGGGCCTCAGGGCTGAGTGAACAGGACCAAAGGGCAGGCTGGGTGGAGGAGCAGGAAGCCTTCAGCACGTTTGTTAAACTGGAGGAGTGCTGATAGCCTGCGTGCGCAGGAACGGGACCGGGGGTGTGTGTGTGTGTGTGTGTGTGTGTGTGTGTGCGCGCGCAGGACAGAGCACCTGCTCTGAAAGGGACTTTGAATGAAGTCATGAGAAACAGATACCACCAAAACACTACTGGCGTAGGAATTCCACTTGCTTTGCTGAAACTTCAGCCATCCCAAGGCTGTAAAATTCATACCTGACAGAGCAGAGTAGCTATATGTGAAGGCCCGAGCTGAGACAGAAGACGCCAGATGCAGCCAGCGCTCACCACCACCCGCTCTGTGTCAGTCGCGGATGATGCGCCTCTCGGAAGGAAAGCTGTCTAGGCTCAGAGCGGGTGTAGCAGTGTCCAAGCACCAGAAGCCTGTGGGGGTGTTGGGGTGAGGGAGCCCCTCCTGAACAGCCGGGCCTGTCTGGTACTTGTGGTAGGAATATTCCCATCCGCGTAAGGGACCAGGTTTCTCTGAGCCACCTGCAGAGAGGTTGTGCAGGTCTCACAGAAGGGTGGTGACAGCGACATCTTCACTCTACAGTAACGCCTTGCTGTCCTGACTCGGAGCAGGGACGGGACTCGGGGGTGTGTCCTTGGTGGGGCTGTGCTGACGGGGGAGCCTCCCAGGCACTGGGCCCTCCTGAACCGTGCATCGTGCCTCAGCAGAGTCCTTGTCCCAGAGCCTCCCGGCTCTGCCGATCCCTGCGGGTCACCTGGAGCTGTCGGTGGGCTCCAGCGGCCCGCAGTGTGAAATGTTCAGATTCACCTGGGTTTTTGTTGGATCTGCTCTTGTAGAAGGGGCTTCCAGGCCCAGGTTGGTAACTGACCAGTGGACACCATCCCTCTTTCCACACTTCGCAGCCTGACTTGGCAGCCAACGAGGCCCAGCTTCTCAGGAAGATTCAGCTGCTGTGCCTCATGGAGGTGGGTGGGGGTCCCCCGAGTGGGCTGGAGGTGGGTGGGGGTCTCCTCCTCTCTGTTGCAGTTCCCACCCCTTCCCTTTTCTCTGCCACCACTCGCTTTTCTACGTTTGTGCTGGGGTCTTGGCTCAGATGACCCCTCCAGCAGGTCCTCTGTGACATCTGAGCTAAAGGAACTGTCCCTGCCTGCCCCCGACAGCTGCCTCGCTCTTGTCCACCCCACCAGGATGTCTGCAGGAAATGGCCTGTGTTTCTGGTTCACCACAGTGTCCTCTGGCACATGGGGCCTTAACAGACCCAGCTCCTGTTGGAGCTCCTAGGACGCCTGTCTCCACCCTCAGCCACTTTATCTAAGCCTTGAAAGTTTGTTAGTTGTAAAATTGTACTTTGTGGGCTACTAGCAAGACATTGATATTCAGAGCAAATATCGACAGACATATCCTTACCGCTCAGTTTTCTGCAAATTTTTACCAAGAATAGTTCCAACTAGCTAACACATTTTTTTCAGATGACTTTCACACGACCTGCCAATCACAGACAACTTACTTTTGAAGAAATTGCCCAGAGTGCTAAAATCACAGTGAACGAGGTAGGGTTGTTGGACTTGGGGTGTTAGCAGCAGAGCTGCGGGGACAGTGGGCCCCCGGCTCTGCCAGAAACGACGGAAGCCCACTGGGCTGGGACATTGGCAGCAGAGCTGCAGGGACAGTGGGTGCCCGGGGGAGGGGACCTCAGAAATGACGGACGCCTGCTGGCCCAAGGGGGCTTGTGTCAGGGTCTTAGGCAGACCCCTCTCTGCACAGGTGGAGTTGCTGGTGATGAAGGCGCTCTCCGTTGGGCTGGTCAAGGGCAGTATAGACGAGGTGGATAAGCGAGTCCACATGACCTGGGTGCAGCCCCGCGTGCTGGACTTGCAGCAGGTGAAGGGTCCGGGCCCCATGGTTCACCTCTGGGTTTGGGGTTGCGTCTGTGCTGTGTTAGTTTCATTTGGACAGAGGCCACTTGGGAAGAAAGCACTGTTAGACAAAGGGTTTGGAGAATGAATTACTGCCGTGGGGACCAAGGGTTTTTATAAGAACCTAATTCAGTGCAAGCCCGGGATTTGAGCCCTGCACTTAAAAGCTTATTACGATAATGGTGCTGGTTGAGCGGATGGTATCAGCCTTGTAATCCTGAAGTGGGTGCGTCTGACTCACACTGGGTAGAAACTTAATCCTGTGGATTTCCTCTATTCTTGCCTCTTTTCTTTCATGCAAGTTTTTAAAATGTCCTTGTGATAAGAGTTGTCCACAGTAAGCCCGTTGAACACCCTCACTCCCAGCTCTGATGTCTAAATGCTGCCCATCGGGCCATGGCTTGGGTGCCCTAAGGCCCGTGTGGTCCTGGTTTGTACCTAGATCAAGGGCATGAAGGACCGCCTGGAGTTCTGGTGCACCGACGTGAAGAGCATGGAGATGCTGGTGGAGCGCCAGGCCCACGACATCCTCACCTAGTGCCCTCGCGTCCCTGTGGCCAGAGACTGGCAGCTCAGAGGATGTGCGTTGAACTGGGGCAGGGGGTGGGATCCTGTTCTTGCTGTAAAAACAGGGTTGTGAATGGTGGGCCTTGGCCACAGGGAGAAGCCCCCATGGGGGTCTCCTGGTCTTGGGACACAAGAGGGCAAGAGTGAATGCACAGCAGTGGCCCTCGAGCCGAGGACACTGGCCCCCATGGCAGGTCTCCGCTGCATCCCCCTGTGTCCTCTGGGAGTGTCCACAATAAACGCCTTGGCCGTGTCCTTCGTGGCTGCTGAGCTTGTCTGGGAGGTCCAGCTGCACCTGAGGAGATCAGAACCTGGAGAGTTGACCTCAGCCCTTCCTCTCCCTGCACCTGCCAGGGCTGGGGCAGAGCCCGGCGCTGAGGGCACAAGGCCATCTGAACCCTGCTCCAACCCTTGGGTGTCTGCTCTGATGCCCCCTCACATCACTCCAGGCACTGGCAGCTCCAGTGGCCAGTGCCCCACGGCCAACAGGAGCCAGCCCAGGACAGCCTGGTCAGGTGTCTAAAGGAAACCAGTGCGAGGTGCCCAGACCGCAAGTGGGGCGAGTGGGGTACACAGCAAAGAGCTCAGACAAGTGTGAGGTGCGGAGAGGTTTAATAGGGGCCCCGCGTCCTGTGGGGGGGGTGCCACGGGGCTGTCATGCTCCAGAACCCTTCTTGTAGTGATCCAGGTGGTGCAGGACCCAGCCTGCAGGAGCCAGGAAGCTGGTGAACAGCACCGAGATGCCTACGGCCTGCTCCTGGGGGAGAGAAGCACACATGAGTCCCCTGGGCTGGTATCGGGCCTCGCCCTGCCTGCTCTCTCCCTGGGGTCCTGTGTGGGAGAACCCAGCCCTCTGGGGCCGGATGGCCCCGGCCCCTCCCTGTGCACTGGAACCACGGCTGCTGTGTGCCATGTGTGGGAAGTAGGGAGCCGGCCTGGCCGCCTGAGGGTGCTTTGAGCAGTTGGCCCCCCGTGTGGTGGGCACCCAGTCCTCTGGTAACCTGTGCAGGAACAGCAAAGCTTTTAAGTTGCTTCGGAGCAGGGCCGGGCCCTTGTACCTGGCTGTGCTGTCAGCAGCCTCGGTGGAGCTTGATCTGCCTGCAGCCCTGTGTCTTGTGGCTGAACTCGGGAAGCCAGGATGTGAAGCAAGACGCACATTTCACCCTCGGGCCCAGCCCTCCCCTCTGACTCCTAAATCCGGATCAGATGCCGAGGTGGAAGCCAGTCTTTTCTCGTGACCTTAGCCCCGGAAGTTTAAGAGCAAATTTGGCCAGGTCGGGGTGTTTGTCCTCGTGGCACGACCTTGAGCACGACCAGGCCTTTGTACTTGCAACAGAGGCGTGCGTGCTCCTGGAATTCCCTGGGTCAGCGTAGGGGCTCTCTGACCCACACACAAGCACTCTCACCAGGTGAGAGGCCTGAGCACCTGGAGCCCCCACCCCACCCCCTGACCTGCTGGCCACGCAGGAGCCTGGCCTGCAAGTGTCGCCTACAGAGACCCCTGTGCTGGCGTGTGGGCAGGGTCACGGCCACGGCACTGAGGCTTTTCCCCCTCCTTGGCTCGTCTGCCTGGAACTGGGAAATGGAGTCACTGCCCTTGGCCGCCTCAGAGGTCACTTACCGCAGGAGAGGTGGGCGTCCTGGCCGGCTTGCCGGAGATGTACACCTTGGGAAGCACCCGGCACCCCAGTGGGGCTTGGAGCAGTCGGAGGGCAGGGGACAGCCCTGGCATGGCTCTGGGCTTGGGCTCCTCCCTGGGTTCCAGCTGGGTGCCCGAGTGTCCTCTGCTCACTTGGTCACGGCTTTTTATAGCGTGGTGGGGGAGGGAGCTGCAGCTGCCCCGTCCAGTCCCAGGGCCTGGCAGGAGGCATGCCTGCTGCAACGTCAGCCTGCTGTGACCTCCAGAAGTTCTGTGTGGGCCTCTCCAACCTCAGAGGAGCAGAGCAGGGGCTTGGCGCCGCCACAGAAGACGTAGCATACCCACGTCTGCCTAATGGAAGTTCTCTGAAGACACCTGGAGCAGCCCTGAGTTCCAGGAGTCAGCTGTGGCCTGCACAGCACAGCGAGCCTGAACGGGCAGCACCTTTCTCTGACCGGTGGGCAGCAAGGTGGAAAGCAGCTCAGCATATGCTGAGTGCTGGCTGTGTGAGTGTGTGTGTGCTCTGGGCACTCAGGGCCCTCCTGGCTCTCGCTCAGTGCTGGCTGTGTGTGTGTGTGTGTGTGTCCGTGTGTCCCCAGGGGCCCACGTCTGGCTCTGGCTCTCACTGAGTGCTGGCTGTGGGCTGGTGTGTGTGTCGGCCCCCCAGGGGCCCTGGTCTCCCTGCCAGCACCCAGGCCCCCTCCCTCCCATCTGTCAGAATGAGCTGCTCATTCCTTCCCACAGCATGTGTGCACTAATCTGTTTCCTGCTCTCTGGAGACTCTCATCCCCTCTGGAGCAAGCCCCACCTCCACCCTGCTCCCCCCTGGAGAGCAGGGGGCCTGCCCCAGGTGCCCCTGCTCCCGAGACCTCCCACCAAATGCAGGGATCCACCTCTGCTTTTTCTAGCCTTTCCTCAGTTGCTGGCCAGAAGCTCTGGGTTCCTTCCCACCTCACCCAGACCCTGCCTGGCCCGTGACGGCCCCGGCCCCTTCCGCCTCTTAGCTGTCCTCTCCAGACCTCACCTGGCCCCAGTCTGGAAGCCGCTAACCTCTGTCCCCACCCGAGGCCTGGGCCCCTGCCCCGAGGTCCCCTGTCCTGCCCCACCCCCTTAGCTGCTCAGGCTGAATGCCCAGTGGCAGCCTCCACTCCTCCATGTGCCGTCTGCTGACAGCTCCACGCCCCACTGTGCTGACTCGGCACCCTTCCCAAGTCCACCTCATACGTGTCTTCCATACGGTGGCCAAGCCAACCCTGGAGCAACCAGCTCCCTCCAACAGGCTCTGCTCGCCTCCTGCCAACAGCCCCCAGGCCTGGGTGATCCGACCCCCGGCTGCCTGCTGGGGCCTGGCCTTGCCCTGGACACAGGCCAGTATCACTGAGGCTTTGCTCAGCGGGGCCTGGTTGTTGCCTGGACGCTGCCGTGCCTGGAGCAGTGTCTGGCTCAGCAGGGTTCTCAGTGCTGGGTGGGCAGATGGGTGGAAGATGGGAGTTCCTGCTAGGAAGTTGGTAATTAGCCTGTGTGAGAAGGGCCTAAGGAAACACAGCTACAGCATCTGCATCCAGTGTCTGCATTTCGAAGTCCTGCCGGACCCTGATGACCTTCCAGGGGGTCCTGCCCCTTCTACCTGGCCTAATAAACATCTGTCCTCTAAGGCAGGCACCACAGAGAGAAGCCCTGATTGACACCAGCAAGGCTCCTCCCATCTGACAACCTCAGTAGTAAACTTGGAAGTTTTTGTATTTTCACCCAACAAACCCTAATACCAGGGCTCCCCATCCTTGTCCTAGAGGAGGGGGGGAGGTGGTAAAGAGACTCCCTTAACAACCGGGAGTCCAAACAGACTGCGCGTGCAGCCCTCTGCCTCTGCTGAGCCGCCCGCCTGGCCTGCCGAGGTGTGTTCTCTCCACTCAACCGTGTAACCTCGCTCTCCCCCAGTCTGAGTGGGCACTGTCCCATCCATTCTGACGGATGCCCTATCCCCAATAAACCTTGCTACTTTGTTCTGTCTATGCCTGAATGTTTCCTTGCGGGAAGACAAGAACCCCACCACGATCTCTGGTAACAGTTCAAGTACTTCCTTAGGTCCCCGTCCCCCATGTTGGAGGCCAGGATAGGGTTCCTGGCTTCTGCTTTCCCAGCCCTGGCTATTCCAGGCCTTTGGGGAGAGAACCAGTGGATGGATAGTCTCTCTGCCATTCAAATAAAAACAAAAATAAATTTACAAAGAAGTTGTCTTAAGTCTGAGGAATGCAAGCACATTTCAGTAGGAACCCATTTCTGCTTCTGTCCTTGGAGACAGGAGCCCCTCCCCGTCCACCCCACTTCCCAGGCCCCAGGCCAGTCCTGAGTCTTAATCCCTTCCACCTGAACCTGTAATTACAGCTTTGGGGTCCAGCTGAGGATCAGGCTGTGGCTGTGATCAGGCAGCACGGTGTTTCCTTCACAGATAAGGACCAGGTGCCCGGCCTGCCTTTGAGGGGAGCTGCATCTCTGCCCTCCGAGCTCCGACGAGGTTCCTGGAGTCCCTGGCCAGCCCTGCCTGGGGGGGGGGGGGATGAGGCCCCCGTGGGGGCCAGGACGGGGTGGGGAGCTGGGGATCCCCCTCCAGGAGGGAGACTGCGGGCCTGGGTATCTGAGAGCCCTCACGCCCAGACGGCTACACCTACTGTGCCTTAAGCCCCCACCTCACCTGGTGATGTTCCCAAGCTCTCATCCCAGCCCCTCCCTCCTGCAACCCGAGCTCCAGGCCTCACCCAGTCTAGGTGCAGTCCCCAGTTTTAACTGCTGCAAACCAAACCCTCCACAGGCCCCTGCTCTGCCCACCCGCCCTGAAGCTGCTTGAGGTGGGGGCGTGGCTCAGCTGTTCCCTGCCTCCCCTGGTCTGCCTCTTACTAGAAGGAGGATGGTGGGCCCAGGGAGAGACAGAAGGAGGCCACAGCGTGGGGGGGGGTGGGGGACAAAGGTCCCAGGTAGTGGCCAGGAAACCAAGTTTGGGAAAAGGCTTGGGGCCTCTTGTCCTGCACGGCTGCTCTCAAGGTCTCTGGTGGACACAAGTGGCCCTGGTGCCCATGTCCTCACCCTCACTCCAGTCAAGCCCTCAGCACCTGTGGAGTCTTCCGGAGACATACTCCTCATGCCCCTGAGAGCCCTGGACACAGGCGGCCATGCACACCCCACCTGCAGGCAGACGGCGCCACCTGGTGTCCAGATTTGGGACTGCAGAGGCTGCAGGTGTGGCCCGCAGAGGTGCTGAGCACAGGAAATCTGTTTTCACCATGGTGGAGGGGCTCAAGTGTGAGCCCTGCACGGTCAGCAGCAGGATCCCATGGGCACCAGAGACGCGGGCCTGGGTATCTGAGAGCCCCTTCAGCCTGATTCCACCCAGCACCAATGGCCACTTCCAGAACCAGAGTCACCAGGGGACAGGGCTTCCCTCCACCCACGAGGACTCCCAGTAAATGTTTTCTACACCGAGTGGGATGCCCTGGAACTCTGGGCTTCATGAGCAGAGGGTGAGGGAGGTGTGGCTTGCAAACCCCTCTGCCCTGCTGGGCCTGGACCAAGACCTCAGCTCGTCCTTGGGCTTACCACGTGAGCCAGCTCTATAAAATTCTCTCCCACACACACACTGAGTGACACAGAGCCAAAAGAGAGACAGGAAGAGATCTTCCATCTGCTGGTTCACCCCCTGAATGGTCACAGCAGTGAAGCCAGAGGTCAAGAACTCCTCCTGGGTCTCCCTTGTGGGCAGCAGGCACTCAGGCATTTGGGCCATCACCTGCTGCCTCCCAGGGGCGTTAGCAGGACCTGGAGCTGAATTGGAGTGTGATGCGGGCCTGCACTGACCCCCATGGACAATCATTCCATAGGGCCCCCAGGTTTCAGGCACTGGGCCACTGTCCCATGTAGGCGGTAAATCATTTTGCTGGACCCAGAAAGTGTGGTCACTGCACCTGACCCAAAGGAGGGGACATTGCCTGAGTAGCCAGTCAGCAAGTTTGCAGTGTGCACACTGCCACCCTCTTTTGCCATGGCCCAAGCCCCAGCGACTTACCACTACAGCTGCAGAGTCCAGGACCCAGGACCACAGAGCATGCTTGCTCCACGGGTGGGCAGTTCAGGCCGCTCCACTCCAGAAGGCTATAGTGTCCAGGACCATGGAGGCAGCCTGGCCCCTGGTGCTGGCTTGAGTCAGGCTGCTACTGGCCAGCTGGGCTTGGGAGTTCTCATGACCAAATTCTCCACCCCCACCATTGCAGGGTCAGCTTCGAGGTTCACCTCGCATGTGGACATGGGCTCCAGCACCTACGGACACTTGGACATTGATTATGGGGTCAGTCTGGACCACAGATGTGGCAAAATTCCAGGGTTTAAGGATGGAGTCGAGTGCCCCTTCTGGCTCAAGTCAAGCCGCAGGCACAACAGAGCCCACCTAGAGCCCAGGAGCCCTAGGTGCAATCCAAAACAAGTTCCCAACTTCTGAGGGGTAGGCAGTTGCATCTGAGGTCTGAGAGGAGGCCCCAGGTCTGGATCAACCTGCAGAAGTCCTGGAAAGAGCTGGGATGCAGGCTCCCGGGGAGACCCTGCTTGGATGTCAGAATGAGGTCCTGGGCTGCCGAACTCACCATCCTTCGCAGCACTGTCCGGCCAAAACCTAGACTAGAAAAGTAGATCTGGGGGCTGGTGCTGCACATCCCATATAGGCTCTGGTTTGAGTCCCAGCTGCTCCACTTCACATCCAGCTCTCTGCTGTGGCCTGGGAAAGCAGTGGAAGATGGCCCAGGTGCTTGGGCCCCTGCACCCCCGTGGGAGACCGGGATGGAGCTCCTGACTCCTTGTTGCTCCCCCGCTCAGAGGAACGACACCAGACGCTGTTTTCTTTCCCTGGTCCTTCCTGGATTTGCTGCCGCTCCTCCACGGAGCTCTCCGACACACTCAGGGGGCCTTCGCAGGTCGTCTCTTTCTCCCTTTTATAGTCCTCTCCCACCAATCCGTGCTCTGCTGCCCACGTGCTAAGCACGCCGCTTTTTTCCAAACAGGGGTTGGTTCAGGAATCAGCTAATTAACGAGGCAGCTGTGTAAGATTTGTTTACTCTCTCAGCGCCATTTGGTGGGAGATCAGATGCATAGAGTTAGTCTTTATAGTCTCAGCGGTCTAGTCTAGCC